TTTAATATATGAATGACGGATTAGTGTATCTTATATTAGAACTGAAAAACTCTCCATAAGTGATCACAGCGAACGTCACCTGGGAATAGGCTTCCCTGAAGATTTCTTTCCAGCGAATCCAAACTGCTCATTATAACTGTTACTGTTGCTAATCACTGTGTAATTGTGTTAGCTTTGTTGTTTGTCGCGCTGCAGAAGGGACCGCCCTCGAAAACATAAATTATGTGAAGCATTGCCATTACGGCTTGAGCATAGTGGCTACAAAGCCTTCTAGGGCTTCTCACTGATTCAAACCACTGGAGATATTTTAATCTAAGTTCACAGCTCCAGTACCACTCTCAGAAACAGACCCGATTTAGTGACGCTCTTCCTGACAGTAGAACTTTTTCGTTTTTGTTTCTTTCATAGGTTCATCATTATCTTAAACACAACTTCATTGTCATTTTTCGAAGTATACTAAGACAGCTCAAAAAGGCTCGCTCTCGAAAGTTTCAATGGGCGCTATCAAGGTTTGCTGTCCTATGGACAAGCTGTGGGCGGAGGCATCGGGTCCAGAGGGGTATGCTTCTGCACGTTTTTAGGCACCGCGCTCACCAGATACACTACCAAGTTATCATGCATTTATCCGTTATTTCTTATTGATATATTTATATTATTGGCATTCACAGTTAGTGGGTTACAATCATAAAACGTGATGTCAGGTTTGCTGTCCTACGGACAACGAGACTCAAAAGCACAGGTCGCGATTAGTTCCCCAAAAAAATCTTCCTCTGAGCGAGGTAGCAGGACCTCTAATCACGTGGGTGGTGGTACCGTTGTGATTTGAAAGTGCTCCACAAAGGAGCTAATGCCTTCACTTGACCGCTGCGACCGCTGCCACTCTTATCAATTTCGGCAGACGTGCGTTTGCGCCATCTCTCCTACGACGTGCTTTCCGCGTTTTCTCTCGCCTTGCAACGCTGTGTCCCTCCGTCATTCCACGGTCAACCTCACAGATTTTTCTATGGGTATTTGTGGAGATATTCGCTTTTCGAAACATAATAACACGCCAAATTAGATCGTGACCCTTGTCCTTGAGTTGGGAGCTCAAGCAGGCACTGATGCTTTCTTGGGATAACGAATTCAGGAGCAAATTATTGTGTTCTCCGGAACCAGCACAACATCCATTGTGTTTGGCTTTGGTCTGAGCTTTTCTTCATGTTGATTTTAATTGTTTTTGCAGAACTTCGTTGTTGCTAGGGAATACGCTGTCTATGCGACCAGCGCGACTCTTCAGTGAGCTGTTTCTCAGGCTTGTGTTTCCCACCGACTCCGGCCTTCTGAGAAGTTGTGGAGTCCATATCCCATTTTCTGCTCACCCAGCTTGTTCTATCTACTGCTTACCTATCTCTATTTGTCTATTTATTTATCGAACCACCGTTTTTGCTCTTAAATCTTTCCTGACCAATGTTTTGAGAGAGAAAGGGAAGGGATCCCCGCTATGCAATTAGTCATTGCTAAGCTCGTAAGCATAGCTCAATCTAACTTCTTACTTTTTAATATTTTTGTTTTCTGTATTATGTTATATTTCTTACCACTCCTCAAGGAGCTATTTCAATAAGCTGTCTCGCCCTTGCTAGCTTGCCACTTCTAGTTAGATTCTATGTCAGAAATGGCATTACGGGAAAGTATACTGAAGCTCGATTTGGTTAGCAGAATTCATAAACAAGGGCGGAAGTGGTGTAGTGGCAAGTGGCACGCTTACCACGCGAGCGGTCCGGGATCAAATCCTGGGTCGTGAGTCGCCGGGCCAACCAAGCCTTCCATCCCTCCGGGGTCGGTTAATTGGTACCAGACTTGTCTGGGAGGATAAAAACACTGACTTGTACATCGGCTGGCCCCCGCAAGTCATTGTATAGGCCACATCGCATTCAAACGCCACTGCGAATGTACAAATGGAAGTAGAATGCGTGCCGCATCCCAAAAAGGGATTGATCAACGGCAAATGCTATCCTTTGTTATTATCTGAGCCGGTCTACAACGAGCAAGCTCATCAAACAGTTTCGTAAACCGTCGCAAAATCTCTCTGGCTCCTGCAATTGTAATCCTGGTGCCACCTGACCAAACGTGGTTTATTTTTCTCGATGGCCTGTCACCCCTTGATTCACGCATTTAGTATTAGGCTACGGTCGCGATTGATGGTTCCTCGACCGAATAAATTTGCCCAATACAAGAGAAAGGCCCAGGTGCAGTGCATGTCCTCCCAATTATTTTCTGGAATATCCTGAAGCAATCTGTTTTTTGAACCAAGGCTACCTCAAAGGTAACTCTAAGGTACCAATTGTGGAGAAATTTCTTGCTCTGCGTATCATTCTATGGCATACTCTCTATATGGACACCAAATAAATTGTGCAACTCCACGAAAACTCGATTCTCATGATGAACGTATTTACTAATCTACTTTGCAGGCCGCAGAGAGAAAGAAAGCTCTGGGAAATCGTAGGCTTCTTCGATTATCTCCTAAAATCTACCCTTAGGCGCACTCATTTCACAATTTTTCGAGGCGGGTCCCTATGCAAATCGCTTCTCAAGGGAAATGGGGTAGTATTAAACAAGAAGGGATTGCGAAACTCTCTCATGTTTCAAGGAATTGTGATCTGACGGGAACTCTCGGCTCGAAGATGATTATGGGAATTCGACATTTTCCACAGCTGTCGCTGCTTGTGGTTTGCTCGTTAGTTACACAAGTACGCTCGTCGTCGGACTTGGGTATCCAAGAGCTGTGTTACTCGAAAATTTTGAGCCCAGATGAAGGTCTCTGACCAGCACAAGCCTTTGAACTCGTTCCATTTCTCCCTCAACTATAACAAATGACTGTTCGGTAATTTCCTCCTCTCTGTTATCACACTTTTGTTATGATAGTTTCGCATATAAATCCTATGAAGCCCAACTAACATCGAAGTAGCCGAGTATCGCCAGGCAAACAAAGTTTTGCATCTTCTTTTCGATTTTCAAAGGGCAGAGGAATATTTCCCTATCAAATAGCGTCCAAGCTCCCTACTTTACTTTAGTTGAGTTTGTCTACTTAATTACCATGTGCTTAGAGTGATAACGTCTCTGTGCCTATGTGTTTATATCTCGATTAATCGTTATATTAGGCTGTCCCATAATTTCTGGCCGAATTTCAACACTTTGATTTCTTCAAGTTTTATCTTTCCTAAAAAAAACAATTGATCAAAAATATAACCACCATCATAATCACTGATATGCATCCATTTGCTAGGGAACGAATGGATGCATTCCTCCCAGAACGAGTGAAGCTGTGAGATGAAAAGCTCGGAAGAGGTCGTTTTTGGGGTGGTTGTATTTACTGACTTTTTCTCTCCTAGCTGCTGCTTCAGGGAGCTGGGAGGTGATAGTACGATGGAGCAATAAGGGCTATACTATACATTCAGTGAGTGTGCGACATTTTCCTCTCGTAAGTGCGCGTTTATTTGGAAATGCGAGGTCGCGGGTTTTATTTGGAGGAAGGAGATTTCGATAGGTTCCGAACGGTTCTCCCGCAGAGTTGCGGCCAGCTTCGGGAGTTATTCCATGGTTATCTTCGCAATGCTTGTCTGCATAAAGTGAAATGGTTCTCAAAACGGGATACCCCTACGAATCCAACGGCGGGGTGATAACCTCTGTGAAGCTTGGGCTTTGGTCGAGATGATGGGTCCAGGCAACCACAGGGAAAGTCGTGTGCTGTTATCGTAGGGGACCCATGACTCATCTGCGCTGGTAACAACTAGAGAATTTTTTGTCTATACGGTCGCAGAATGGAACTTTGGCAGATAGTCAGGTGTGCTTTTTGGTCATAGTCAGTCTGTTTCCATCGAGACTTCATTACCCCACAACCCCTTCCATTCAAGTGGTGGGCATATGCTCGTCCAGATGTTTGCTACAATTTTCTAGAAGTATGTGCGTATTCGCTCCCATAATCATTGCAAGGATTGCTGTTTTCGCACTCACTATCCAAGGAAGTTCTTTTTGTTCACATGACTACTTCGTGGGAACTGTGAGGAGTACAAGTCGTAGTCGCAAAGCAATTCGTAGTCGCAAAGCAATTTGCCTGAAATTTTCCCATCTAGTTGTTCGTTGGCGCACGGTAACATATAGTCTTATCTAAGGGACTTTTTCAGAGTAGAATGTATCCCCCGAGATGGGCGTAAACCCGTTCAGCAGCCACTGCCCCTGTTGAACTCAAAACTTTCACAGTAAGCTAATTCCACACCTATCTTAATACAATTTCGCGAAGTGACACCATTTAAGTCTCCAAGTTCTCTCTTCATACAACCTCGGCATCGTTGTTGAAATCTGTGTTTTTCTTCTGCCAACGAGGTTTTTAGGTGACAAATTTATTAGCGGCCTGACGTTTCGACCCGATCGTCTTCCTCAAAGGCCAGTCTGCCACCGCAAGAGCGGAACAATGCCACTCCAGATAGTAGTGGTTAGTAAAAGCATTGTTTACAGGCCTTTGAGGAATACGATCGGGTCGAAACGTCAGGTCGCTAATAAATTTGTCACCTAAAAACCTCGTTGGCAGAAGAAAAACACAGAATACACCATTTAAGATTCTGCTTTTCCTCATTCCCATTATCATCACTATGAACTCCGCTATCGATTCCATGGAAGTAGAATATCGCCTTCTCAAGTGCTTTGTCGTTTTTGACGCCAGCAAAGCCTCTCAGCGCATCAGCCGATTTCTAATCTCATTTTGGTGCAGGCCTATCTTAAACTACTTTCTGCAAAACCTAGACAACTGGCTGATTTCGATGAACCCTCTTGAAAGATTCACGTGCAGAAAGCAATATCAAATCGGATCAGAACACCACCTGCACCTTGTTTACAGTATCATCATTTACTGTCACCACCGTCCTGTTCTATAAGAGGGACCGTTTCTATTTTCTCAAAATGATTCTTCTAACATTTCGTATTTTAGCGTCATGTCCGACGTGAAGCGCTCGCTGCTTGACATGAGTCCTGGCGGAAAGACCGACGACGAGGAGGAGCCTTCCGAGGACGAACCCACCGAGTCGAACGAAACGTTTGCTGAGTTTTGTTCAAGTGAGTCATTTAAAATGTAAAATTGCTGACCTTTTTGCTGATAAGAATTTGAGTAGTAGAAGATGAGCCTTCAGTTACCTACAAATTTCTTACATAATGCTTTCGAGCCATTGAAATACGAAATCATCGGAATGGATAGGCTCGGGTAAAGGGTTCATGAGGTAGGGTTAGGTAAAACGTTCATGAAACTTCAACACCTGTAATAAGACACGAGCGCAATTTGTAGTTTTCCTTTCTACGTCAGTAGCTAACCACGTCAAGCGATGACGACCTCAAATCTATCATTGCCCACATGACAACCGTCACTCTACTTTAAGCCCACGCAAATTATTTACCCGTGATTTGTTGTTCTGCCCCGTTCAGTTGAGAACCGAGAGAGATGAGCCCTTTTGTCACGCGAGTGATCTCTTCTTAGGTGCTTTTTGTTTCTTGCTGAGCTACAAGTAGAAAGGCAAGTGCGCAAAAACGCTTGCCACGCTCGCGGTGCTGCGATCGAGTCCTGGCTAGTACATCTTCCGGGCTAACCAAGCCTTCCATCCCCACAGGCTAGGTTCATTGGTATCGGACCCGTCCATGAGCTGAAAAGACTAAAACTCGCACTATCATTTTTTCAGAACCGAGTCGCCATTCAAAATCCCTTTACGATTTTGGTTGATAGTTAAATGCGTGGCGTATCTTGATTAGGATTCGATCAACTCTGAATGATCTCTCTTTTTTCATCCTCTACTCCGTTGCTGATTTTACTCCTTCAAAGGCTTGCAAATGAGAAGGGATCCCCTCTGCGAAGATTTCGATTTATTCCGGCGAAGCTGTAATAGTGGAGGCAGCAAAACGCTCAGAAACGAGCTGATTAGAAAAGAAAAGAGCATCGAGGTTAATGGGAAAAATTTTTTTCGAATGTATGACTCGTTATTCACTTACATATTAGCTCGTTAGGGGGCGCCATAAATGGCACAATCAAATGCAAAAGCAGAAGCCGAGCTAAATAGTTGCAAGATAAAAAGGGCAAGGTGATTGATAGCACTTCACAACGCGTGTCGTTGAAGGGACATGCAGAACAAAGAAACCACACCATTCTTTCTTGCCGATGTCTTCTCGTGGGGAAAGAGAGAAATTAGCGATCCTCTCAGTTCCATGCAGTTGCACCTTACAGGATTGAAGGCGAAACCATAGAATGAAAAGTAGAGGTGGTCGTTATACCGGGTGAAGAATGACCGGACTCAATAAGGGACCCCTGCCCGCTTTTGGCTTCCGGTTCATTGATGTGAACCTCTCATCAGATGCTGCTCTCAAGCCAAGCGGCTATAGATCTACGAGTGGTGAGCCAGTCGGTCAACGTGCAGCGTCGACAGCGGCGCAGGAACGGTTGCTACATCGCCGGAAACATATCCTTTCCGGGGAATTGCTTGTCGGTCCGCACCCCTAGGGGGGCGCCTGTCTTTCCACTGAAAGTTGATTTCCCCTTCTTCAACCTTCGACCTCCTTTGATGGCTATTTCGCGATTGATACGCAGGGGCTACAGCGTTCGAAAAAGAGCGTACTTGTGGCAGTGGTTCAGAAATGATCAAAGAAAGCAGTAGAGCTGCTGGAAATATTTACCATCAAATAGCGCACCGCTCGCATGGGCGGAGTTTGCAGTCTACCTTCACGGGAGCCCAAATGGTCGGCCGTTTCTGCGGTATTCTTATAGATGGTTAGGTTCTGAGGCCAACCAGTCAGATTCCGTGCAGGCGGGCAAACTCCGCCCACACGACCTGCGTGCAGTGTGATTTAAGGGTTTTCAGCAGTTTTTTCTTTCTCCTAAAAGTGATGGACCAGTCAGTACATCGATTTTCATTCAACGGCGCGGTAATCCATTCAATCACGGAAGGTGCCTTCAAGCGCATGTTTGATCGTGGATCTTGCAGATCGAAAGCGAACACTTCCTCTAACTTCCAGACGAGATTTCACGCTTTCTCGAAGTGCATCGAGAAGAATGAATCGGATTTGACATAATTGGCTCCGCTTGCTAATAATCTGCTCAGCGAAGTCTCTTATTGAGAATCCGCTCAACAAAGCAGCACTGCGACGTCTTATCGCCGTGCAACGAAAGTGCAAGCGAGTGCAGAATAGCTCTGCCCCTATAAATATTAATGAAACTAGTAAGCTCTACAAGGCCTGACAATGAGTTTGCTGGCGTGGAAAAATGTAATGCATCGCATGGTAAGCCAGAAAGACGCCGAACTCATGGGACCCTCAGTGGAGAATGACGTCGAACCCCACTCTACCAGAGCGGCAGGTCCATGGAGCTTCCGGAAGAATGTGTGACTGACCAATTCATCGATGAGCAGAAGCAAGAAATTACGAAGTCCTCGCCTCAAGCGACTGCAATATTGAGATCAAGTCAAATGAAGTAGCTCTCTAGATGTCGCCGCTAAGCCCGCTATTCCGATAAGGTTGTGGTTCATAGTTTAATTCCCATGACTCAGCTTCGCTAGAAAAGTTCGGCGTAAAGCGCTTAGGACCACAGCATGCCCAATAGATGGGTCTAATAATAAATAAATAATATTTAATCAGATAAATAAATAAAACAGATAAGAGCACATAATTAACCACGCCCCCCCCATTCTTCCTAAATTCGTAGAGTCGTTGCGGCAGGTATCCCAAAGCTTTGGCATTAACTGTCAGCCTTCCGACTTTGCACTCGTTACAGTGGAAATCAAATGAGAAGTAAGGAGTAGGTTAGTATCCAAACGGCCCACCCTGTCCATATTCCGTCCGACATAAGCTGTGCGGTTGCCTCCATGGACAGATGACCAATTTATAGTCCTTTCCTTCGTGTATGCCTAGGAAAAGCATGAATACCTCATGAATAATAGGTCTACAACTAAACTGCAGAAAACCAAATGGTAAGTCAACTCGCTCCCTATAGACACTAGTGGATGTGGTAATAGCTGAAGAATCATGTACCCTCCCACTTCAAAAATGCGAGAAAGTGTCGGGTGCAGACCATACACCACAAGTGACGACGGAATTTCTGAAAATGTAGTTTTACTTGGAGTCCGTCGTCAGCTTGTGGTGTTTGGGCTGCACCCGACACTTTTTCGCTTTTTGAAGGGAGGTCAATAAAGGAAGAGTTGTAAGGAATTGATGAAATTCGATTAACGGGAAAGTGACGGGTCACGACTAGTCGGCAGTTGGCTTAGTTCTAATATGTTTTGGAGAGAAAAGCGCAGGAATTAACCGAGTAATTTGTTAGCAGCTCTGACAAAGCAATCCGCTATTAAATCTACTACCATCTACTATCTATCTATTGCAGTGGATGCGCAGTGAAAGACATCTACTGGTCTCATTTTGGCAAGTTTAGCTATGTATTTCGTTCTGAAATGAGCCAAGCTGACTGCATTTTTTTCACGAATATTTGTGAACTCCCAATGGCGAGTCCGCCATCATATTCGGGATCGAAACTTCAGGATTTGGGAAAACGTATGTAAAGACTTTCCTCCATCCGAAAGCCAAAATTTGCAAAAGAAAAATTGTCATTTTGCACCAACAAAATTCTATATTTTATCTGGAATTTCTTTTTTCTCATTTCAGGACAAGCCAGAAATGTAGTGCATTTCTTGGTCGGAGGACTGGTGTCTGTCAGCATTACTTGGCGTAATCACTGCGGTGCTTTCTGTTGGAATGGACGTCGCCATCGAGATTCTTCAGCACGGTAAACTTCGTTCTATTGTGTCAGACTGAACATATTATCCAGGGTTGCCAGGATGACAAAAGTATAAAGTGTGAGATTAGGTGCCGAATGGGAGGCGGGGCGCGGTCGGTCAACCGACCTCCAATCTTTCGCGAGTCTGAAATGCCTTTGATCTGAAGCAGCTAATTTATGGGTACGCCTCATTTCCTGATTTTGTAGCAGATACTCTCTTTCAAACGGTAGCTATATCGGGCTTAAAAATATGGAAAAGTGGGAAAAAATCCATCAGAGAGAAATGGCATGGCTCATCAGACAACCTAATAGATAGATGTGCTAATGAGCATCAAAATAAAAATGAACGCCAACAAAAAAATCGATAGTTTTCCATCAGGAGCTTTCGGTCAGGGTGCGGTCCTATCGTTGCGGCTTTTCCGGAAATTTTTTACGACCCCCCCCCTTCTCAATCAAAATTTTCGCGATCCCCTTTCATCATCTTCGCCATCATAGTCGCTGTTTCTATAGTATTTAGTTCCGAATTTAATTGTGAGACCAGTCGACACACTAACCCCACCCCACTTTTCTCTCCAAAACGCCGTGCGGGGGGGGGGGCGTACAGTAAAACGGCAAAATTTTCTCCGCTCCTTCACAGCACGCGCCCTAAACTCACTTAACTCACCCATGAATTCTAACAATAAGATTACATCGAATCGAATACGACCCCCCCACTGCAAAACTTCAACAAAATACGACCCCCATTGGTACAGGTCACAACATGGAGTTGGCTCTTGCTGTATCGATCATGTCTGCGTTTCAAGAGAGCAGCTTCTTCTCCTATCCTCACACAATTACCATTATTTACTAAACTTTACATGTTGAAACTTAGATACGAAACAAATAATTTAAATTTGCCGCTTTTCCACTCATTTGCGAATTATTAGAGATGACACTGCCTCATCCAATTTTCCTTCTCTTATGGAGGAATGAGCCCAAAGAAAAACAATAGGCAAAATTATGAAAGGTTGATGTTCTAGCAACCTGAAACCTCTGATCGAAGGTCGTTAGTCTTCAGTGAGATTCGTTTTCTTTTTGGTTTCTTCACCTTGTTTTCTTTTTTCTTCAGCCTTCCTGCATTCTATTCCGCTACATATTACGTACTCTTTTTCATTTCCCGATCCCGTTTCCTTATGCATGCACAAAAAGTTCCTTGTTCTTCCTTTTTCTCCCTTGCCACATGATTTTTTTGCAACTTGTTCTGCTTTGTACTACTGTCCAATTTCTGGGTCGATACCGATCTGCATTATGCAAAGATGCAATTTGGGATATGTCCTTCTAATGTCTGCTTACCTTTATCTTGCGGATAAGACGAAAGTGACTCTTCTCTAGGCACTCAGATAAGATAACGATGTCAAAAAAACTTTTAAATGCTGCTTTATCAAGAAGAGATGCCACTATTATTCAAAACGCACTCAGCGGGACCTAATTTCAAGTTCCCAAACGTATACGGGGAATTCACAGACATCAAATTCTTTTCGCACTATGACAGTGCCTCCAGAAAAACTTGATGGGTCTATTTGAAGAATAGACTAGGCGTTGTAATGCAGAGCAGTCAACGTTCAAAACCATGACAAGCGTTTTCTTTCGCTAAATGCAATCCCCGGCTTCAAAGGCATGCCCCAAGACCACATTGGTGTGCTCTTGCACACGAATGCGAATGTAGCTAGGAGCTTTTTTCAAACATCTTCAACCGTACAGGCTTGACCTTTTCAGCTCACGTTGTCGTCTACGATGTTTTTCTGCGAATATCGGGCCATTTGGCGTTTTTCTCATGGGTGATGCATGTGGTCGTTCTGACGGCCCTTTCGGCTGTCTTTTGCCAGATCGTCTCCAAACAAGCAGTCGGTAAGCATTATATCATATTTTGATGAAACGCCGATATGTGTTTCTCTCATGGTAATGCCAACAATTTCAGGATCGGGAATTCCTGAAGTGAAGGTGATAATGCATGGCTTCAAAATGGACAACTACCTCACCTTTCGTACCTTGATCGCTAAAATGGTCGGCTTGACGTTGGCCATGGGCGGTGGACTCCCTATAGGAAAGGAGGTCAGCTGAGGAACCATGCAGAGTTTTGAGGAAGACTCCTTTTTCGAAAATGAGATTATCACTTTCAGGGCCCATTCGTGCACATGGGGGCGATTGTGGCGACGTTGCTCTCGAAAATCACTGCTTCTTGTCAGTACTCAGCTTTCTTCTCAAATGAAGGTCGAGAGATGGAGATGCTGAGCAGCGGTTGTGCCGTTGGAATCGCCTGCACATTTTCAGCACCAATCGGAGGTGAGCATCGATCTCTCTCTTGACGATAGTCCGTAGTCCCCAACGTAAATGCATGTGGATGACAGTTCTTTCGAGGTTTTAAGACCCATGAATTGAACTTTGACTGCACGGTTTTTTCTGGTTACTAGTAAAGAAATTTTCTGTCAAACCGAATCAGCTCAAAGATGTATTGCATTAGAAACCTAAAGCAGACCTCTTCTCTGGACACTACTGCTTCCTGCGTCCCGCTATTGACCATGAACACCTTTATAGTTTTCTAGTGTATCGCGAGTGACCCCGCACTTACGGCAGAAATGTTAGACTTCGCGAATCGAGCGATCAGCTAGCGTCCGCGGTCGCGTCGCGGCCAGCGATCGCTCGATTCGCAAAGTCTGATCATCCTGCCAATGACTCAAAAAATCTATTCTGGTCAAAAGTGCTGATAGTTTCGAGAATCGTGTGATCCGATGTGATCTGAGATCTCTCCAGCTGCAGCTACACTCGGCGCAACATGCGGTCAAGCTTTTTGCAGCACTGCGCAGATCTAATCGGGTTGGCATAGGGCTGGACTACAAAATTGCATCTACCAGTGCACAATTTCAGGTTACCAAATTCTGATCTGTTTTCAGCTGTGCTCTATGCCATTGAGTCAACATCGAAGTACTTTGCCGTGAAGAACTACTGGCGAGGATTTCTGGCTGCCACTTGCTCGGCAATCATCTTCCGATTCGCTAATTTCTTCGTGACTGCTGAGCAGTCCGGTATGATTTCGGGTTAGATACCTTAAAAAATCTATTCTGGTATCATATAATGCATCGATTTCATGGCCCATCATTCGATAAGCAAACAATTTGTGAAGTGTTGATGATTGCGTGCAGTATTTCTCGGCATCTCACCCTCAAAGCATGTCAGTGATCCTCGGCCGAAGTGTGCGAGTCCTCCATTGGGTTAAGTCACCATGAGCACGACAAATATACCGATTCAATCCACTTCAATTCTTGATTGGAATTTACTTCGATGAAACTTGTAAACAACGCATTTTTCAGCGGTCACTGTTGAGATGAACAAATTCTCCAGATTTGTAGCTCAACAGAGCTGTCGCTTTCATTACACATATGATAGATCCGACCAAGCCAAGTTATGTATTTTCGT